TTGAAAAGTTAAATAAAAGAGATAAGCCAAGCCTATCCCTTAACTAAGCTTATCAAAAAAGGACAGAAAAGACCCAAATCCATGCAATTTGAAATGGAAAAGGCAAAATCACAACAGATTTTGAAGAAATCCAAAAGATCATCAGTAATTACTTTGAGAACCACTGTTCTAGTAAAACAGAAAATTTGGATGAAATGGATAGATTCCTAGATACATATGAATTACCAAACCTAAATCAAGAAAATATAAAAATTCTGAATAATCCAATATCAGTCAATGAAACTGAAGAAAAATAAGAAAGAAAAGAAAGACCACCTAAGAAAAAACAAAGTCCCAGTGGATACAATGCTGAATTCCACGAGAACTTTACAGAAGATCTAACACCAATACTCCTCCAATTTTTAATGAAATTAAAAGGGTGACAGGCCTCCCAAAGTCATTCCTGTAAGCAAGTATTACCCAGACAACAAAACCAGAAAATGACCCAACGAAAAGAAGAGAACTACAGGCCAATGTCTTTAATGAATGTGGATGCAAAAATCCTCAGTAAGATACTGGCAAACAGCAAGTCATTAAGAAGATTATACACCTTGAACAAGTAGCATTCCAGGGATATGCAAATCAATAAATGTAATATACCACATAAACAGAAGCAAGGACAAAAACCACATGATCATATCAATAGGCCCAAAAAAAGTGTTTGACAAAATCCAACAATTCAGTCATGATCAAAATAAGCCTTAGAGAAAACTGGAAAGAAAGTCTTTATCTCAAGCTAATAAAAAATAATAAAAGCCATCTATCAATGGCCAACATCATATTAATTGGACAAAAGCTGAAAGCATTCACTCTAAAATCAGGAATAAGACAAGGATGCCCACTATCACCACTCCTGTTCAATATAGTTCTCAAAACATTTTCCAGAGCCATTAGACAAAACAAAGAAATAAAAGGAATATGGGTAGAAAAGGAAGAGTTAAAGTAACATTATTTGTTGATGGCATGATCCTCTACAAAGACCACCCCAAAAACTCCATTAAAAGACTCCTAGAATTAATAACCAAATTTGATTAGCATAGCAGGAAACAAAGTCAACATTCAAAAATCAATAGCATTCCAACATACCAATAAAACTCACCAAGAGAGTAATTAGAGAAACAGCACCTACAACAGCACCAAGAAAAAATGAAATACTTAGTAGTTAACCTAAAGAAGGAAGGGAAAGACCCCTACACTGAAAATATATATTCTGAAAAAGGAGACTGAAGAGAATATAAAAAAATGAAATATACTCCCTGTTCCTGGATAGGCAAAAGCAATAGTGAAAATAACCATATATCTAAAACTGTTACATAGATTTAATGCAATTACAATCAAAATAACAATAGAATTCCTCACAAACCTAGAGAAAATGATACTAAAATTTATATGGAACTAGAAGAGACCTGGGAATAGCAAAAGTAATTCTGGACAACAAGGACAAGGCATCACAACCCCCAATCTTTAAGTTATTCTACAAAGCTACATTGATGAAAACAGTATGGAGTTGGAAAAAAATAAAAACAGAATTGTAGATCAATAGAACAGAATACAACATGCAGAAACAACTCCAGACATACTCAGCTACCTTATCTTTGACAAAGGGGCCAAATCCTTTTGCTGAAGGAAAGAATGCCTCTTTAACAATGGTTTTAGGAAAACTGACTTTCCAAATGTCCAAGACTGAACTTGGGCCCGTATTTCTCACCATGCACTAAATTAAAATCATACTGGTTAAAACAGACTTATGCTAGTGGAGGGTAAACAGGTAAAACTCTCAAAGACATAGGTGTAAGCAAAGACTTTATTAAGAAATCCCTGGTTGTACAGGAAATTGTACTACAAAGAATAAACAAGTAGGATCCCATAAAATTATAAAGCTCATGCACAGCAAAGGAAACCACCAACAGAGTGAAAAGACTACTTACAGAATGGCACAAAGGCTTTTGCCAGCTACTCCTCAGAGGACTAACATCTAAAATAAAGAACTCAAAACAATCAGATCTCCCCAAATTAAAAAACCCAATCCAAAACGTGAGCATCTAAAATGATATACACTTAAAGAGGAAGAAGTCACAAAACATTAAAAAATGTTCAACATCACTGGTCATTCAAGAAATGCAAATTTAAACAATGCTGAGACTCCATCTCATGTCAGGAAGAATGGCTGTCATCAAGATATCAACCAATAACAAATCCTAGCAAGGCTGTGGTGATAAAAGAACATTTCTCCATTATTTCCAGGAGTGTACACTGGTACGACCACTATGAAAAGCAGTATGAAGATTCCTTAAAAAATTGAAACTAGATTTCCATTTGATCCAGATATTCCCCTTCTGGGTATCCTCCAACAAGAGTTAAAGTATACTACAGTGCTACACACATACCCATGTTTGTAACAGCACAATTTATAACAGCTAAATCTTGGAACCAGCCCATATGCCCATCAAAAGATGAATGGACAGAGTTGAAATCAAGAAAATTAAAATTATGGTAAAGATTTCAACACATACATCTTACTAAGTAATAGAACAAATTGATACAAAAATCCATAAAGATCAGAGCACATAAACAATATTACCAACTGGGCCAGTGATTTAGCTCAGTGGCACTGCACCAGCCTCACAAGTGCAAGGTCCCAAGTTCGATTCCCAGGACCAAAAAGAAAACAATATTACCAATATGTTTAAAAGATGACAAATTATATAAAGTATGTACTCTGATAATAATAGTACTAAAGCAGCAATTATCAACAAAAACATAGAAAGCAAAAGAAAAACATAGGTGGGATATTCCCAATGCTTTGCAAACTAAGCAACACTCTTCTAAATAAAAGTCAAAGAAGAAAAAAGTGAAATTATAAAAAATTGAAATAAAATAACATTTTAAAATTAGTATTCTCTATATAGGAAGTACTAAATGTCATATTACAAAATATGACCTCAGCTTCTACATTTTAAAAATCTAGAAAAAGAATATATTAAATTCATGTAAGCAAAATCAATATACAGAAAACAAAAATAATAGCAAAAATTGATCAAATCAAAATCTGGTTCTTTCAGAAGATTAATAAAGTTTATAAATGTTCTGAACTAATCAGCAGAGAGAAAATTTACTGATAAGCATTAAAGGAGGTGAGATCACTAAAGTTTCTACAGAAATTAAAAGAATTATAAAAGAATATTATCAACAACTTTATGCCAATAGATAATTTAGATGAAACTAAAAAATTTCTTGAAAAATACAAGCTACTAAATTTCACTCAAGGAAAAACTGTGCTGATAAATGAATGATATTTGTGCTGATAAATGACATTCTATCCATCAAAGAAGATGAATGTGTAGTTTCAAACTTTCCCAAAAAGAAAACTCCTGGCCAGATGTGTGAACACCAGGAGGTAACAAAAATTGGAGACGAACTTAGAGTTTATGTGCATCAAGCAATATATAAGAGAATCCCATTTTAATAAAACTATATCTGTCTCTCTATCCCTCACTTGAACTGCCTATCCATCTGAACTATACAGGACATTCATTTAATAATGGATGGTAATTCTGAGCCAATTTTCAGCTTTCTTCATTTTTACTTTAGAAGAAATTGGTATGAATCATTCTTATAAAACATTCTACTATAATAATAAAATTATTATTTTAGAAAATGATAAAGATTGAAGAACCAAGTTAGTGTAATGTCGTAAAGACTAATGTACAAGAGTATTTCAAAGACTAGTGTAGTGACATATGTCTATAACACCAGCGTTCTGGGTGGCTAAGGAGATTACAGGAGACTTAGCAAGAACTTGTCTCAAAATAAAAACAAGCAAATAAATGAAAAGGACTAGGAATGCAGTTCACTACAAATGTTGGGTTTACGCCATACTACTAAAAAAAGGTGCATTTCAAAAAGAAATATATGATCAACTTCACCAGAAAGTTCTAAAAGCAGTAAAGCTAAGAACAGACCAATTGGTTTAGTAACTGGGAGATCAGTACAGCTTCCATAATAGAGATTTTCTAAAGTGAAGATGGAAAGGCCAAATTACAGGGTGTTCGGAGGTGAGTAGTGAGGCAGTGAAGAAAAATGGTTTAAACCACTTATTTGAGAAACTGGGCTCTGAAAAGATGGTATCTGTACTTCAGTGTAACTGTGAGAGGAATTGGAAAATTGTTATATTTTCACTCTGAAATCAAAAATAAATTAGATATTGAAGAGAAACCACCTAATCAACTCATATAACTGTTATAAAATACCAATGAAGAGAGTAACATGAGGCCAATATCCACAAAAGAAATGTGTTTCCATCCTCATGTAGAAGACTGGAGATTCTATGCGACAAAAGACAATTCTAGCTTCACACGAAAAGCAGGTGAGATTACAGTTCATCTGAAAGAAAATGATATTTTTCCCTACAAAATAAAATTGCTACAGACGACAAAAACAAAGACGTCTTAAAAGCAGCCTATTAAATATAAAAACTAACATGATCAAATTAGTCATACTGTATCATTAAGGTTACATATTCTTTACAAAATACTTTGCATACATTACTCAAAAATCTTAAATCTGCATTCCAAAATCTATATATAGAATTTCAAATTGTGCTTTAAATAAGTTTCTAAAGATGCGATGGAAATCACATTCCTTACCACATCCTCAAGAATGATTATCTCTGGCTTCACTTTTTAAAGACAGAAATCAGTAAGCTGATTTCAGTATATGTGAAAATTTCTCTGGTGTATAATCTTAAAATTTATATATCCTATAGACATTTTAAATATCTCTTAAATTGCCAATCTGTAATAAGGCATTTTAACTATCTCTTAAAACTGCAAATCTGCAATTAGATATCTTTTTTAAAAAGCCCTAAATGACCAGTTAAATTTATATTAATTACCCAATGAAAATGTCCATCATAATGTTATTATTCTATCTACTTGAATAAATGAAACTTTGCTAGTTACCTTTTCCCCAGGAAAAATTTCAATGTAACCAAACATCGTGGATGATTATAAAAGAAACACAGCTGACTGAAAGAGATGATTTCAGTGGTTCCATATTTTATGCGTACTTCGTTTTTCTGTTGGAAACAGAATGAACAGAGCCAAATGAATCCTTTGAATCTTCACTTTATGTTCCAAATTGTCCACCAATAAACATTTTATATAATCTTTGAAGTACTATTAGCTCCAATATACTGTGTCCTCAGCATTTTTTTTTCCAGGGTTTTTTTTTTTTTTTTTTGAGACAAGGTCTCACTCACAATGTAGTGTCCAGATCTCCTATGCTAAAATGTAATTTTCATCAGACGCTACCATGTTTACAACTGATAAAACTTGTCAGAAAAAAGAAACCAGGTTCTTCACCACAAAATTGTGTTATACACTATCAACTGCAGAAGGTAGAAATAAAAAAATAGAATGTGTGTCTACACTCAAAGCTATTTACTATACCCAGTGAGTAGAGCTCATAGCAGATATAAAGGTTTCTAATACAACCCAATATCAAAACAAAACAATGAGGAAATAAAAACAAATTTAAAAAAGACTTCTTCTGTTGAAGAAAAAAATTGGTTTAAAAAAGAGATCAGCGGGCTGGGGATTTAGCTCAGTGGTTCCGCCACCCACCTCACTAGCACAAGGACCCGTGTTTGATCCCTGATACAAAAAAAAAAAAAAGAGAGAGAGAGAGAGATCAGTTTACCATATTGACTCATACCTTCATTCTTCTTATCATTGAACCCCATCCTCTTATTACAAGTTCAGTCCTACACAGGACTTCTAATCCTAAAGAATTTAAAGACCTAAGGTCAGCAATTGTGTAGTGAATTGGCCTTGATACTGGGCCCTTGTTGATTTTGTTTTCTGGTCCTCATACATTGATTCCTGTTGCCTTCCTCAACAAAACACCACTTGTTTCGCACTTACAAGGTTTCTGTGTTCTGAGTTCATTTTTCTGTATAATCCCAACTCAGAATCACCTTCACTTCATTCATTCATTTTTGGATAAACACATATTGAGCACCTATTGGTTTTCAGACACAGTGCTAGGTGCCATGGATAAGGACCTTGACCTCATGCTGCAACTACTACCTAATGTTGCAACTACTGGCTATTTCGAGACTGCTATTCCAGACTTTGCCCACCTACTAAGATAAGAATTTCTTACCTTTTTTCCTTCACTAATGGTCTAGGGAGTATAAATAATAGCCAATGACAACACACAGTGTTTGCCCTCTCCATATACAACAGAATCTGTCTAGAAATAATTAAATGTATGTGTGTATCCATGCAGTATTTAACATTCTAAGGCAAAAATCACCAACAAAACTTATCAGACCCTTCTTAGTCTAAGGTATCCCTTCTACAATAACAAGGGATCTACAGTTGCTTCTATTCCCAATGCTTCTGATACTCACTTTTCACTCCCTCCAGATGTAGGTCTCAACTCCACCACAAAGAATGCCTTTTTAACACTCAGACCATGGCCCTTCCTTGACTGCTCAGCTCAGACACCAAGAACTGAATCTCTCTATTCTTTACTATCAAATTGGTTAATAGACTAAATTCATTACCTTGATACTGAATACCGAGCTACAGCACAAAATGATAACCAATAAGCAGCATTTTACAATTCTACAAAGGATATTCACACATATTATTTCAGCTGAAAATCGGAAGCCTTCACACAAAAAATGGTAATCAAGTTGCAAGCAAAGGGGAGATAAAACCACAAGTAGGGCTTTTTTGTAAAATACTAAGCAAAAGTTGAAAATGGAAATGTCTATCATATCTCTGAAGGTCACTAAGAACCTAACTGCATGATACACTGATAAATTATCACTTCTGTTAATCACAAATTTAATCATACCACAGTCTGATTTAAACCTTCATGGCTTCTATTGTTCCTCTTATAAAAGAAAATAATTTTCAAAGGTCCACTAGGATGTCATGATTTGGTTATTAAACTTCCTGGTTTACCATGCTTGTCTTCCCCATCACTTCTCTGAATTGTACTGCACCTCTACTGTCCTTCATTTTTACCTCCAAGTGTCATGCTTTCTCCTTACATGAGATCTCTGTACTTGGCTTCCCTCTAGAATGCTCCTCCATCATTGCCTAGTAGTTAATTCCTATGCTTCCTTCCTCTCTCTTGATCAGGCTTCTTCAATTCACATTATTCAGGCCCTTAGAGCTATGTTCTTTTCCTTGAGTGTTGTACTTGTAGTTTCAGTATTAAGAATATTTTTAAAACTATCAATCATCTATCATGAGACTATTTCTACTCATCACTAAAGCTATAGAACAAATGTACTATTTAATTATAATAGTTCACAGGAGGGTCAGGGATTTAGCTCAGTGGTTCTGCCACCTGCCTCGCAAGCGTAAGGACCCAAGTTCGATCCCCAGTACCAAAAAAGAAAAAAAGAAACCCCAATAATTCACAGGAATCCTCTAGGTGTTTAGATCCTCTGGTGTTTAGAATGTAGGCATATGTTAGTAGTTAGTAATAAGGTCTTCAGAGTCAAAGACTGACTTTCAAATCATATCTCCTTTTTTACTACTCATATAATTTTGGATTGGATATATAATCTTTGAAGTGTTTAGGTTTTTATTTTTGTAGTAAGAATCATAGTCTAACCATACCACAGATGATGTAGATTTTTCAAATCACATGGAAGATAAACCTAAATGTACATTCCCCACTGCCTATCACCATGTCAAATACGCAGTTTATGTTTAGAAGGAAGGTATGTTAATTGTGTCAAGTTGACTAGACTAAGAGACAGGTAGTTAACTGACAAAATATTAACTCTGGTTGTGTATGTGAAGGTGAGTCAAGAGAAAGCGAGCATCAGTAAACTGAATCAAGATCTACCCTCACCAATGTGAGTGGGCATCATTCAGTCTGTTGAGGGCTCAAACATGTAGAGGATGGACAAATTCACTCTCTGTCTTGAACGAGAGCTAATGGTTCTTAGGCCTCTGAATGCTGAACTTGCACCAGCACAATACACTCCAGTTCTCACACCCTAGGACTCAAAAGTTGTACCACCAGGTCCTCGTGCTTTCAGATGCAAAATGAACCACACTATTGAATTTCTTAGATATGCAGCTGCAGACAGCACTTGGTGGAACGTCTTGACCTCCATAATAGTAAGAGTTAATTCCAATAACAAAATGCTCTTGTATCTATACAAATCTATGTGTATCACTGTTTCTTTTTCTTGGGAGAACCCTAATGGAACAGAAGAAGATGACTGATGTTTTTACTTTAGAGTCTTGAAGATAAAATCACATAAGTACATACTTGACTATGCATGATGTACTGTAAAAGGACAAACTTAAAATGTGTTCTCTGGTGCAAGAAACAGTGAAGTATTTGCAGGGCTGTGTAACTCATATGAAATAACTTGAGGTAGTAATTAGACAGTGATGGCCTGATCCTTAAATTCAGGATTAAAGAGTAAGAGGGTTTTTGCATAATTGAAAACTAAATTCTCCCTGGAACATAAACTGAAATCTTAATATAATATCAAAGGTTGTCAGTGAAATAACATGGTTAAGTAACTATAAATTCTACTTTGGGCTAACTCATGGGTAAGGCCATATACCAAGGAAAAGCATTAACCTATATGTACAGTTACTTCCCTCTGGTATCAATTTAATAGACACCTAATCTAGCTCTTGCTTACAGAAATAAAATATGGTGACCTGAAGTGACTCAACCATTCAATTTTTGTGTTCTTTATATTTTAAATTTATCATCTCAATATCAACATTCAATATTATGAATGTACACACTTGATCTTGTTTTAGAAAGAGCAATTGATAGTATAGATAATCAAATCTTCACTAATTAAAAAGCAAAGCAATACAAGGCACAAATTTTATTTAGGTACCAAAAGTTCCAATTAAGGGATTCTTATTTTATTACACATAAATCATTTTTCTTGTAACACTGCTAGCAAGTTTTATTGCTGTCTTTTGTTGCTTTTCTCCATCTTTTTTTTATTGACTATCTTTACCTGGAAATTATTTTAATGTGCTTTTTGGAGTTATACTATTGAAAAGCTGAGACTTCTAAAAGGTTCATTGCATTCCAGAAACATAACTTTGCTTCTTATGAAGTTCTTATTTTATACCACAAGTATATTTAGATGAAGAGTTTGTAATAGAAGCAGCAGCAAAACTCCAGAAACCCATGTAATCACTTGGAAACAGTCATCATTGCAAACAGTACACATTTAAACTATTACACTGGAATCCTAAATCTTAAACTCAGCACAGAGATTAAATACCAGTAGAAAAATAAATATGGGTTGAGAACTAAAATTGTTTTTTCCTTCAACAAATGAAGTGAGTGTGTATACACAACTGACATCAAGAACAACCTAACCGAGACCAAACTGATGCAAATAGGATGCCAAGCAAAACTTAGCTTTCTGCCAAAGGTTTTCCCCAGGAGGTAAATAACATTTTCCATAAGTCTATGGAAATTGCAGAATTGGTTTGGTAATGAAATACTCTTAGCCAATTTTTTATGTGTGATTTAACGTTTTTGTTCTCTATTGAACAGGATAGATTACATTAATTACATCAGAGAAGGGTCCATATTTATATTCAATGAAAAGATTAGCAGTATGTTAATTCACTTGAGAAAATTTTACCATATGTAAAGATAAAATATGCATTTTTAAACCTCCCTTTGAAAGTTAAGACTATACAATTACAGTGTAATTCAGCAAGATTAGAATTAAATATAAACTTTTCAGGCAGGAGCGCTTCATATTACATGATGATAATTTAGAGTATTCTAATTAAAAGAATCTTATTGTAATTTTCATAAAGTTACATGCTTAAGCCAACTTATCAGTAGAAAGTTAGATAATCATGGAAAGAAAGACATAGATTTCAAAAAATATTTTCAGTCCAATTATCCCTAAAAGGCACTATAGGTGATTTTCAAAAAACAAAAAAATTTAATATGTAAGCAATCTCTGCTTCTGTCTTTTGATTCATCTTGAGTTATCTTGGTTGGTACTCAGTGTGTTTATACACAGAAGACATGACCCACTCC